CTGAATTGATAAACTTATCTTCTGTTAGTTGCGAAGATTGATCTTCCAAAATGCTCATTCTTTCAAACAGTTCGGGGATTGATGTTTGCATGTCTTCATCTGATTTTTTCTCTGATATCAACATTATAAGTGGTGTATCCTATTTAAATATTTATAATATTAACTCGTAAATACGTGCCAAAGAAAACGTTTTTTGTTTTTTGAAAAAAAATACCTCATCATCAATCAATTCCGCATAGACTTCATTCGCCTATTTGAATATTTATATGCAAATTATTAACTTGTAAATATATATATGCGTCAAAAAAAATTTTTTTTTTATTAGAAATTACCTCTTTATCACTAACATCATTAATCAATTCAACATAGTCTTTATGAATGTTTATATGCAAATTATTAACTTGTAAATATATATATGTGTCAAAAAAATTTTTTTTTATTACAAATTACCTCTTTATTACTAATATCATCAATCAATTCCACATAGCCTTTATTTGCCTAATTGAATATTTATATACAAATTATTAACTTTTAAATATATATATATGTCAAAAAAATTTTTTTTTATTACAAATTGCCTCTTTATCACTAACATTATAGATCAATTTCATATTATCTTCATCCAATCTTTCTTCTGATTTCGACATTATAAATAGCGTTTCCTATTCGAATATTTATAAGCAAATAAATATACATATATGTCAACAACATTTTTTTACAAAATGTAGTCTATCTTCGTTATAACGTAGTACAAACTCTGTCCATAATAATGAATATCCGCTATAGCGCTATATAATATATTACTCTATTATAACTAAGTATTCATTATAACGAGGGTATACTGTACTCCTTTTTTTCAAAATATCTTATTGCTAACATTATTAGTCAATTTCGCATTGTCTTCATCTGATTTTCCTTTTTATCAGATTTTTTCTCTTTATTATTGTCTTAATCTGAACTTTCCTCTTCATCACTAATATCATTAATCAATTCTGCTTTGTCTTTATTTGCTTCCTATTTGAATATTTATAGACAAATAAAAATTCGTATTAACTTGTAAATATATGTGATGTTAAAAAAAAATGTTTTTTTTACAAAATATCTTGTCATCGATAATATTATAAATCAAAGTCATATTGTTAGGAGGCAGAATAAATGGTTTAGAATAAACATCTCTCATTAATGTAAGAATTTCAAACCATCGAAGGTACTTCACATTAGGATCCTTTATGACATCTAAAAAGATAAATATAAAAATATAAATAAATCAAACTTAATATATAAAAAACATAATTAAATACAGTATAATAATAGTTACATATTTTTCTTGTGTCAAAAATGATTTTCCTTTTTCTATGATATACATTTAATCTTCCAATAACTTTTACAAGTGCCTCAACATCAAACTGTGGATTATCTATATACTTATTATGTCTTCTGTCTTTTCCTCTTTCTCCAAAATTTACACAATCAATCAAGCCTGATCCATCTTGAACTTAAATAATAATTGTGACAGATCATAATAAATCCAGATCAAAATGAAATTATAATATAAAATTTCGAAAAATAAAATTTTTTGGAGTGTATTTTTTAGGGATAGGGTTAGGGTTAGGGTTAGTTTTAAAATAAAGTTATAATAAACAAGTATAAGTAAGTTTTAGAAGGTTAACAGGTTGAGTAGAAAATGTAGATTTTATTTTAAATTATAATCCGTGACAATAATTACTTATAAGTAATGCGAGTATATATATGTAAAAAAAGTAAGCAGAATATTCACAAGTTCATCTTACTCATATATCTAATAATTAGGGGTAGCTGTGCGATACAGTCATGCTAGAACCAGAAACGTGGAATATTGGTTTTCAGTTGAAGCAAAATAACTCAAGTTAGCCATGCATTAAATCTATTGACCCAGGAGTCTCATATCTGTGCTTACAATATCATACGGCACAAGAATCTAACTCCCATGTGAAGCAAGAATCCAACTCCCACACAGCACAAGAATTCATGTTCGGTAAAGTCAAAAAACCCCAAGAAAAAAAAGAAAGTTAGTAATAAAACTAAGACAAAAAAAAAAAATCAATACCTTATCTAAAAACGTCATATACATGTTTCTCAGTGCTGATTCAAGTTCGGCAAAGCTTAAAAACCCAAAGAAAAAAAAGAAAGGTTAGTAACAAGGCTAAAAAAAAACAAAAAAAAAAACAAAACAAAACTTAGTAAAAAGTCTAAAAAAAGTCAAAAAAAGAAAACCAAATACCTTACCCAAAATGTCGCTTGTATATTTGCCTGTAGGGATAGTAAAAAAAATGTTTTACGATAATATTCAATATAATTTTTTTTCTCACAATTATATCCTTTCAAACCACCAAGTATACACTATGAAGTAATTATGACATTAATGCAACAAGTATCATGTGTGGCTTCGATAACTGTTCTTAACTTCTATTATAAACAGATAAATGAAAATCATAATTTTTACTAAAACAAGATTTTGTGAAAATCGGGGCATAGCAGATATTGCTTGATTTAGCTCAAGATATGTATATCATGTTATACGTACATACAACATGTGAATATTATCATGATAATCATGCTATTCAATCAAATGCAAGATTTTGTTTATACTATTCTAGATGGCAGGTAACCATACACTCTGTTATGCAAGCAAAACTACGTTCCTGATATGCTATCTATTATAATATCAATATCAGTTATTGGCACAATTATTTCTACTTTCTTAATTGGATAATTTTTAACAAAAAAGATCTAGACGATTCTGGAACCCATAAATAAAAAATCTATTAAAATCTAATAATTAATAGAGCACTTGGCACAAAAATATCAAACAAACCTTCCATAAACTGAATCCTCTTAAGTTTTAATAAACTTGAAATATATAGTTTTATATTTGTATTATAAACAGGATCCAAATACTAAAACTTTGGTAAAGAGTAAAAGTAGATTCCCTATTGAGTTTCAGTAACAAGAGAAGAAGCTATTTTTTTTTGTATGTATATCTACGTTCTTAAAGGTAAAGTATACATAGTGATAGATCTTTGTTAAAAATCTACGTACCGTGTGAAATTTTTTTATTAGTTATATATTATACATGTGTAATATTATAGAAAGACATCTGTAATAATTAACCAATCAAATTACATAATTTTGATTGATCAAAGATCACATTTTTACATGGGAGAGCTATGTATTCAGGCAATTGATTTATATCAGCCAATTATATGAAAGCTTTCTATGATATATAATATGAAATCAAAACAAATTAGTCACGTTGGATTTGAATCAGATATATTGTTTTGGCTATTTTTTTTTTTTTTTCTTTTTTAATTACTCTTTTTTCTTTATTTATTTTTTCTTTCTTTTTTTGTTTTTTTTTTTAAATTTTATATTATTTATTATTATTTAGTACTTTTTATATTTTTTTATTTTATTTTTTTTTATATTCATTATTGTATTTTTTTCTTTTTTCTGTTTTTATTTGTCTTTTTATTTTTATTAATTTATTATTATTTAATTTTTATTTCTTTATTTTATCTTGATTAAGCTAATGTATATTATTTTTATTTGGGTTATATATAAGTAGATGTTTTGCCAGGTCATTGGTGATATGATATATAACTATTTATTTATAAACATATATTAATATTAAGGTCTACTAATTTTTGACAAGGAGGAAAATTGGTTATGTATCTTCTTTATCAATTTAATCAACTTTTTATTTATTTATTTATTTATTTTTTCTTTTATTTTTTTTCTTTTTTAGTTTTTGTTTTTTTAAAAAATTTTATTTTTTATTTATTTATTATTATATTATTATTTTGTACTTTCTATATTTTTTTATTTTTTTATTTATTTTTTTTTGGTTTTAAGGTGAGGCCTTGCTTATATCTTTATTAGTAATAATTTTTAATAGTAACAAAATAAATTAC